CCACCTCTTTGCCTCAGGAGGCGCAGAATAAAGTCTTCCTGGCACGGCGCGCTGTGGCGCTGAGCTCCACCAACCCGGCTTTTTGACCTGTGCAGTCCATGTCCCACCTTCAGACCCCAGGCCAATTGTAAGCCTAGGACACATCTGTAAAACTAGGAGAACTGGAGAAGACGCCACGCTCTTCCAGCTCTAGGATCTGGAGATTTCCAGGGACCCCGGCCGCCACGTCCCAGACTCTCGGGTGATCTTTCTTCTACCAATAAATACAGCCAAGGTGCCTGAGCGCGCGTTGAAATCTGCGTCCTGAAGTTGGGGGCAGGGCTACAGCAGGGCAGGAGCCAATCAAATGCATGGGAATGTGTCGCTATGCGAAGTGCTCTTCCGTAAGAAGGCTTGATCGTTGTGTCGGCCAATCGGCGGCCGAATCTGGCTTAGGGGCGGGCCAACTCACGATTGGCTCAGATTTGTGATAAGCGGTTGCTAGGGGATACCACGCGCCAAAAGCCTGGCATTCGCTGATATAAAGGGCGTCTCAACCAATCACTTGTCGTTACAGGCCGGGGGGGCCGTACCAATGAGTTCAGAACCAATCTGTGGTCGAAGTAGGGACAAGAGGGAGGGGACATTCTCTCGCCAATCGGAAGTGTAAAGAGGCGGGCGTGCCAGTCCGTGGACTGCTACGACGCCATGAATATCTTGCCCAAGAAGAGCTGGCACGTCCGGAACAAGGACAATGTTGCCCGCGTGCGGCGTGACGAGGCCCAGGCCCGGGAGGAAGAGAAGGAGCGTGAGCGGAGGGTGCTGCTGGCTCAGCAAGAGGTAAGCCCGGGGGCTGGCCGGGCGGAACTCCGGAGCCCAGCGCGCAGGCGCCATGATAGGGGTCCGGAAGTGGCGGCGTTGCGCAGGCGCCCTGTGCTCCGTGTGTAATTCGTGACCAGGCGCCGATCTCTTTTTCGAAGACGTTGCTCGGCAGACTTTGTGCCCACCAAATCTCCTTTGATCGCTCCCTCGTCTTAGTTTTCTCTCCACTGATGTATTTCACATGGCTAGAGCAATGTCTAGCACAAAAGAGAAGCATAAATGTTTACTGAATTCATGATTCTTTGGACAGTTTAAGGAAATTCGGATCACTTTTTAGTTTGCTTGCACAGCCTATTTATTGAGCAGTTACTGTATGCTAACTACATGCAGAACGCCTGACTTCCAGAATCCCCCATAAGCACCGTTCTTTCTTAAAGGGGTATTGTCATCTCCGTGGCACGAAGGGAGATGGCTTCAAGGGAGGGGAAGGCTCCACCCCTTCGGGCTAGCCCTTTCCCTGCACCACCCCCTAGACACACACACAAACATGGGCTTTATGTATAGCTCCTTAAATCTGTTTGGTGTACACCTAACTTTTAGTTCCTTAGCCACTCTGATCCTCCACAGTGGGAGGGAGGTAGTCTGGGTTTTTAGAATCTCAGTAGGCTGCTGAGCGCTTTGTCCTGAAGGCGAGAGACAGGGCTTCATCAGTGGACTTGGGGTAATGACTTTGGAGCCATGCCTGGAATCCAGATCATCTGACCTAATGCAGTTTGTTCTACCTTTATGGCTGTTTCAATTGTTTCACCTGAGGTTAGGAACCCCTTTGGTTTAGGCCAGGTACCTCCTCCCAGCCATCCTAGATCTGTGGTTGACTATTCGAAAGTCAGTTTATAAAACCCAGGTGTTGCTTTATCTGCCTATCCTCACCCCTAGCTAGGACAGGTGCCTCTTGTAAGCGCCGAGTGCTCGCTTTCTTATAACCCCAGCATCCTGGACTGCTGTTTCCTGTGGTGGGCACCAGACTTAAAAGTTCTTGAATTACCTCTAGGTTTTTAATGTCTTGCCTGTAACTTTCTCCCCAGGCCCGTACAGAATTCCTACGGAAGAAAGCCAGACATCAGAACTCACTGCCTGAGCTTGAGGCAGCAGAGGTGGGAGCCCCAAGTTCTGGCCCTGTGGACCTGTTTCGAGAGCTGCTGGAGGAAGGGAAAGGCCTGATCAGAGGCAATAAAGAGCACGAGGAAGAAAAGCGACAGGAGAAAGTAAGCTGACTTTATCCACTTCATCAGAGGAGACATGAATGGAGCTGGGGGGAGGGGCACTTTAGCCTTTGGTTGTGACTAAGGCTAAACAATAGTGAACACTAAAAATTTAGAACCATACCAAAGCATGACACTCAGAAGTGGTGGCTGTTGCCATTGGGTGCCCCCAGGGCTTGGAGGTAGATGCTCGAGATCCCCAGCTACTAGGCAAACTGCTCAGGTCTCCAAACTGGAGGGGTCTCAAACCTGATGGGCTTTTAAAAATCTAAATCAGGCCGGGCGCGGTGGCTCACGCCTGTAATCCCAGCACTTTGGGAGGCCGAGGCGGGTGGATCACAAGTTCAAGAGATCGAAACCATCCTGGT